TTTATAAAAATAAACCATCATTTGTGCATCAGGAAGCTCTTTAACGCCTAATGGACCTTACAGACTGGCGTCGAGAAACCGACATTGTTCTTTTAATTGCTGACTCACATAATTCATCAAATCAGACTCCTATAATGAATTCATTATTTTCATCACTTTTACACATTCGTGTGGAACCATTTCTTGTGACCGTCTAGCCTGTAGCTGGAGAATGTTTTGGAAGTTTATTTATTATGCCGCTATTGTGCTCGATGCTCTGAACATAACATTACACCTAAAATTATGCTGGCATCATTCATATGACACTACCCACAACCCGCCCTTTTTTGTGTCGTCTTTCCTAATTTACCAAAGATAGAAACTTCATTATCCCAGAAAGGATAGCTTTGCTAGTCTGTTACATTCCCTTTTGTTGCAATTCGTTGTAATTATTTGTTGTGATTCGATGTTTTACACCCCAAAATTAGTGTGCATATTGTCCACACTTCGCTCTATACGTTTCCTGTGGTAACGACAAGGAGAATATGTTTAACATGAGGACCCCCAGCTCTCCAGCAGGCGATCGGCATTTCCTTTCTTCTCGTGAACTTGATGTTTGATTAAATTTCTCTTTACCAATGGGCAAATAAATTCATGCCAGCCATAATTTTTAGAGGTAAAAAGTTAAAACCAGACACAAAGTCAAGAGGGCGAGTGGCCATTTTCTCTTTTATTCGATGATCAATCGATGTCATAATGAGTATAACAGCACATTCAATTTACATGGTTGTATTTTGCCGTCGACTTTGGAACAAAGGGTGCAACAGAATATCCAGATTATCAAACAAAATTTGCGCAACTTGGATGTGTACATCTTCAGCCCATTGACTTCATGTATGACGTCATAAGGCTGATGAATTGAATTAGAACCAGGCTGAAAACGACCGAGTTAATTAAAATTGATAAAAAAATTGTTTCTAATCATTTCGAACATATTATCGTGCCCAACTTGAATGTATTCTCTGTCCCGTTTGAAATAACATGGAAAACAAACAAACAGAAAAAAAAAATTAATTTAGATATCTAACACCACGTTAGCGTGAAACATGAACTGCGAGAGTGGCCACGTGACCTTGTTTTCCCGCCATTTTCTCACGTCTGCCGGTCGCGGTTTGCTGTTTACAAATGAAATTAACCTGTTTCGCGTTTGCCGTGTACGGAAGATTTTCTATCTTTTTTCTCTCACAGAGAAGAAGTTAATGGCCATGGAAAAGGTCACCAAACTATTCCTTGTTAGGCATAAATAGATTGTGCTCTGCAACTTGTGAGCAACTTTTAGCGTTTTGAGCAACTCTTTGTAGTACCAGCAACCTTGGGCAACTTTTGAGCAACTAATTGATATAAAACCGATCCAAACCATAAAACGTCGTTTCCTTTTGAAGGATTTTATTAAAACTGGTTTTATCAAAACTGATTTTATTAAAACTAAGAATATACAGCAAAATGACAATAAAATAACACTTGCATTACGCCCACGAAATCTGGACAGCGGCTATCTATCTAACGGGCGCTTAAATCTAGCGGTTATTCGCTGCAGCGTAGAGCCTGCTGCCATCTTGGTATTTGCTGAGAGTCATTATCATGGCATCGCAATCAGATATAGTTAACATTATGATGCCCATCCAAGTAAACTTTGCAAGGTTGACTAGTTAGAAACTTTAACTAGAAAATACGTATCTATTATTGAAGTTATGTTGAGTTTAAAGAGTATATTGATTACAATATAGTATTTATATTTGTCATATAACAATGTCTTTTGGCCTCTTTTAATGATTGTAAGAATATTTAATGAAAATGTTTAAATGGCAACAGACAAACACGTTTTGAGTATTTATCTAAAACAAAACGACACTAGAGAGCAAGCAACTTTTCTAAATTTTGTGGCAACTTTTAGATATTTGAGCAACTTTAGAGCAGCTTTTGGGTATATTGTAAAGCAACTTCTCCTGAATTTACTAGCACAATCTATTCATGCCTATTTCTTGTAAGCCATACAAGGGCGCCTTCAAATCCATTATGAAGTGAGCTCGCGCGAAGCTAAAGAAGCAAGCTTCACGCTATTTCACCTGAGACATGAAGGGGCAAGCTGACGTTTGCCGTTTCCCGTAAACGCGGTGCTAACTGTTTCTCTATGATCTGCACGGGAACGTGATGGTTAAATAACTTTGATTCTTTTCGTTTTTTGTGACAACGTTAAGGTTGATGAGTTATCGTAGAAAAGGGGAGAAATGGGTATGATTACTTCTCCACTGAGAGAGAGGAATATCTCCAGAGAGCTTCTGTGCATGAGGTCATTTGGGAACTCAGGGAGAAGCAAAAAAATTAGGATTCTTAAAACAAATTTTCTAATTGTCCCCAAGGAGGATACGAGGCTGTGGTTTCATTCGCACTGGCATGCCCTGAATTTGTATTACAGTCAAACTAAGTGAAGCGTACCCCTCAGGATTACATTAATGATTTGATTATTTGAATATTGAGCCCGCGAATCGTTTCAGGAGCGCAATAACGAATTGAATATTTGAACATGGAACCCGCTAACCGTTTCAAGAATGCAATAATGGATTGATTTTTTGAATATTGAACCCGATAGCCGTAT